TTGTGACCACTAAGTGTACATCATGTACAGCGATGTTGGTTTGATTAGAAACGTCGGGAAATATACATTCGTAGTCCTTCAATAAACTAACAAATGATTTTTCTCTTCAGGAGGCAAGCGATTGAGTTTTGAATCGAGATTGTCCAGAATGTCAGAATTATTCAGTTTGATGTTGCATTCATCTCCAATATTTTCCAGTTTATGGGTGTCTGAGTCAAGGCAATTGCCATCAGTATGAGGAGAACAATCAATGGCTAAAATATTTTCGGATGCTTCTCGTATGTAGTAGGGCTTCAGCATACTAATATGACACAGCTGGGTAGCCTTTCGACGATCAGGTGTTTTTACAACATAGTCTGTATCATTAACTTTCCGAACAACCTCATAGGGACCATGATACCTTGCTTTGAGTGAATATCCCATGTGGGTAACAATACCAAGACCATGTCACCAGGATGGAACTTGCACTCTTCAGCCTCATGGTCATAAACGTTTTTCATTTTAACTTGGGATGACTTCAAATTTTCTCGAGCCAATTCACAAGCATGTAAGAGTGTGGACCGAAACTTGGAAACGTAATCCAATAAGTGCATTTCTTTTGGAGCATCTTCCAACCATTGTTCCTTCAGCAACTTCAAAGACCCACGCACTGAATGGCCAAACACCAACTCAAATGGGCTAAACCCTAGCGACTACTGAACTGACTCACGAACAGCAAATGATAATAAATTAACTCCTTCATCCCAATCCTTCTCGTGATTCCTTGTGATTCTGAATGAGACGCACTAGATTTTATCTGTTTAGCACCGAGCTGATAAACAACTTGTTGAAACAATGCTGACATAAAATTTGATCCTTGATCAGATTGAATTTCTTTGGGCAAGCCACCAAAAGTAAAGAAACTGATCAAAGCCTTAGAAATTTTTTGGGCCGAAATGTTTCTCAAAGGGATAGCTTCAGGGAATCGAGTGGATTTGCACATGATAGTTAACAAATACTAATTCCCCGATCGAGTTTTTGGCAAAAGCCGAACACAATCAACAATCACATGACTGAAGGGTTCTTCGAATGCTGGGAGGGGTTTCAGAGGAGCAACAGGAATGTTATGGTTGGGTTTTCCGACCAACTGACAGGTATGACAAGTTTTGCAAGACTGAGAAACGTCTTCCCTAATTTTTGGCCAAAAGAAATGTCTCATAATTTTGTCACACGTCTTGTTGACTCCTAAGTGACCTCACATGAGGATTTCATTGGCAACTTTCAATATTTCAGAATGATATGCTTTTGGAACAACGATTTTATAAACAATAGCCCAGTCCTCTGAAGCTGGCACATCTGGTGGTTTCCATTTCCTCATAAGCACACCATTTTTGAAAAATAACCACTTGGAACTTTCTCCAGTTCATCTTTTGGAAGTGCATATTTAAAAAATTGAAGAGATCTGTGGATCCTTTTCTTGCTCAGCTATCAGTTTACTTTTAGTAAATTGAACTTCACCAGGTGAATCAGATTCTTCATGTCCATCATTGTTCCTCACTGAGGAATCGTCAGTAGAACAATTATCCACAAAATCCTCATTGGATCCAAAAAATGTCTGAGACAAATCTATAATATCGTCCTCTGAATCCATTTCTATCATTTGTTTTTGGCTTAATTTCTTAGCCTGAGCTCGAGTCACAACACATGAGAGAAACACATTGGGATTCTCCTCAACTACAAAATCATATTTAGATGAAACAGTGATTGGCTTGTTAACCATTTTAGGTTCAGCAACAACTTTTCCCCCAGCCAAATCATTTCTTACTCTAACCACAACTAGTTCCGAAACTAGGTCTGATGCTAAATAAATGTTATGAAGAGGAACATTAACAAAGCCACCCTCAATACCCTGAGCAAAAACAGACTCACCAGTGGCAGAACTCGAATCTAAAGGCAATATACCTTCTAACAATAATGATTGAGTCGCCCCAGTATCACATGGAATACGTATGGGTATGGAATCGCCAGTGTCATTTGTCAATAACACAGAACCAACAGACAAAAGGTCTAAATTCCTCCCTGATTACATCAGCCTTTATATCAGTGGTCATATCAACAACATCGGGTGATCTGGTGAAACTACGTCTATATGTGGACACCAATGCACTGGGTGTTGCCTTCTTTTCTTTTTCAAACACCAACAATCGGACATAACATGACCAGGGTTTTTTACAAAAATGGCAGACAAGCC